GAACTGAATTCCAAAAACATTATATTTTTTTCGTTTGGTTTCTTCTGCACAGCGGCACACACTTCTACGGAAGTTTCTWGGTCTGTCCACGTGATGATTCTCATCAAACAGTAGGTCATTCAGTGGTCTTGGAGGGGATTGTTTATCAGCATAACAGCCCARCCTTACAAACTTGACAGAGCATGGTCTCTCTAAAAAGATATTATTCGAATTAAGATCTGCCCAAAACGTACTAAGTCACCGACACATAGTTTGAAGACGTCTTACGTAGTCTGCACATCTTCTACACATGTTCTCATCATTCAAACACACCCTTTTACTCTAGCCACATTCGAATCTTGAAATCATGCGGTACAACTACCTAGTATTCTAAAGTTTATGAAGTTGGAATTTCAATACTTTGAATATACACCTACTTGCGAAAACGTTGTCATAAAAATAGAAAATTTGTATTTTTAGTAAAAAGGAATAAATTAAAAAAGACAAAAGAAGATCACTGAGGCTGAACGCTCTCTTTTGTCTTGTTTAAATTTATTCCTTTTTACTAAATTCAAATGTTCTTTTTTCTATGACAACGTTTCTGCAAGTAGGTGTATATTAAAAAAAAAACAACCTATAAAAGGACCATATTGACAGATTTGAAGACCCCATTTAATAATCAGGTYAAAAATATTGGGTCAACCAAAATGTTGGATGATGTTTATTGGCCCAACACAACTATTCGGTTGCAGACTATACCTTGGGTAGGCCCATCTGTATATTGCGTCATCTCGCCATGTTTTTCTTCCTTTGAAGTATGAATGAGACCTTCAATAGATTTTAATTTATCTGGCATCTTTTTATTCAAGCCTTCATCCTTCGGTTTAGCGGAATCATCTGCTACATGCATGCCCTTGTGGCTGGCTGTGTTTAAGTGACCTTGACCAGGTGTAGGGARCACTTGTGTTCCATTGGAATGTTGTCGTATCTGGCCGAGGTTACTTCTARTGCCAGTTAACTGTTTCTGATTTACGGCTTCGTTCAACTTGTCGAATTCTGCTCTTAACATGTCCAACTCTACATTAATAATGGTATATTTCTAAATAAAATACATAACCTTCATATTGTAAAAAATTATTTATAACACTATTCACACGGTCTAAGTAAGCTAATCTTTGTTGGTCTTGTCATATGGGCATAGCTTGAGACAAAGTCTATAATAACATGAGACTTTACTATTGCCAAATCTGCAGGGGAAACATATGATTGGATAGCCGAGCAGCTTTGCTGCTGCAAATTCAATTAAAGAACTCCCTCTTTATAAAATAGTTGACACCAAACTCCTAACATGCATTAATAGCGCCTTCACTTGACGGATAAGAAACTCCTAAGCTTTTCCGAGAAGGAGTTTCAATTGATCCTGGGCATGTGAAATGATTCTTCGCATGTTTGAAGTTATATCAAACTGCAATAAGGTATTTCTCTGTGCTTACCTTTTTTYTTYAAAGTCACGCGCTCTTTAGWGTGTTCACTCGWGTTCTTTTCCATTTTGCTTTTGTCCAAATRATTGTCTGTTGRATTAGTAAACAACATGTCAACAATATCTTCTATGAGTTCTTCAGAGGCATCTCCTGATGAATTCCCAGAAGGCTTTTTAACTTTGAATTTTTTTAAATCMCRTTTAGTGAACTCTTCTTGTTTTGGTATTATAGAGCTCTTAGTTGTTGTGTGAGCAGCGGTTAAAGCAGTTCCATTATAATGTTTTAAAAGTTTCCTCTTTCTAGAAGASAATACGCTATCCTTCTCATTTAATTTTTTCACTGTTGAGCTCGAATTATTAGAGCTAGTTTTTGCCTTTAATGTTGGAAAATTAGCTTTGGTAACAGATGTCTTTGATGCTAAAGTCGATTTAGATGGATAGTAGCTAGCTTTATTTGATTMAACAACTTTAAATTTTTTCCTGTTGTCACTGGGGTCATGGGAAATTTGAATTGTTACGTCATCACTGTCGGAGTTTGACGATTCTTCTTCCGTTGGACGACTATTACCTGTAGATGATTTTGTTGGACTAGATTTTGAAGAAAGCGTACTCGATGCAGACGTCACTTTTCCGTCTTCTGCATGAGAAGATGTCGTTGAATGTGTAGTTGGATGTTTMTGTGTATCATAATTTACAGACGTCTGGTTATCAAGCAAGTTTGTTGAAGTTAATGGCTTTGYCGAGGTTCTTGTTCTTGTTGGGGCGTACCCTTTAGTTCGAAATCTCGAATTCGAATGGATTTTCTTATCTGATTTCGACTTTGCATCTGTAGATAACCTGTCTTCTGTTGATTGCAACGTAATTGAGGCTTTGCTTGGATTGAACTTAATGCTAAATGTYTCATTTGGCAAATCCTCGTCAAGTACAGAAACAGAAAAGCTTTGTGTTGGAGTAYCAGTTGGGGCTGTTTTACCATTGGCTGCAACAGTTGATGTCTTCAAGCTTCCTGTAGATGAAATATAACTCGATGTGGTTTTCGATGTTGTTGAGGCTGTAGAACGTTCATTTGTTTTTGTTGAAACACTTCCTGTAGGTGCTTTAGCGCTAGTTGTCGAATCAAAACCGATCTTAACACTGTATCCAGAAACAGAGGGTGTAGTTTTGCTAAGATCGTGACTATATTTTGGCGAGAACTTCGAAGTCGGGCCAGTTATAGACGTTTCTTTATTTTTAGTGGAAGCATTCGATGTAGAGGCTTTAACACCAATTGTTGGATGAGATGACGGACTATTCATGGATTTTCTTGTCGTTGATGCGTCAGRGTATTGATTTGTGGTCGTCTCTGAAGATTAGAAGCATCAATAAAAGAAAAAAAGTGCCATTTTTAACCATCAATCATGTTTTCCCTTAGGTTGATGATTCTAAAATGTTCTTACGTTTTGGTGTATAATTGGGTGCATTTTCCACAATTTAATTAAGAAATTTAAGTATACGGCCAAGTGAAATTGAACGGCAATATTGGTACTTAGAAACTACCCACCAAATCATGCAACTCAACACAACTTAGCAATCTTTTGAACACTGACGATAATGCTTGGAAATTGACCATAACTGTAAACTGACCCCTCTCTTAGATAACTCTTTCTACGTCCCATGATAAACAATGAAACCATCAAATTCACGTGTGCATGCTYTCAGTCAAAGACCTTTGCATTGTTTTCAYAACATTTGTGTGAAACGTTTGTGAGGAATTCTCAGTTTTTTAACGAGAGTCAGTTAAAATCCTTACTTTTCGGAATAAGACTAATTTGTGGTACTCACCTTTGTCTTTGAAGGTTTTTGTTGTTCCTGNAATGATGGATACACCTACTTGCGAAAACGTTGTCATAAAAAAATAGGACATTTGTATTTAGTAAAAAGGAATAAATTAAAAAAGGCAAAAGAAGATCACTGAGGCTGAACGCTTTCTTTTGTCTTACCTTCGTGCATCTCAGTTGCAGAAGGAGTAAACCAAGACTTAGCTCCCATAGCAATAGTTCCAGAGCTTTGTGGAGATTGGGTAGTGTGTTTTTGTACTATTTGACCGGAGCTCTTTGCTGTTTTTATTGATGGAACTAAAATCAAACATGAGATTCAATAATGAATGTCGATGATGCCAATTAATTTACAGAATATGTACACACAATCATGGACAAAACACTTTGAAACACCTTCTAGAAATCATTATAGAATTCATGAGCTATTAGTCCAATGAGCATCAAACTATTGGGTCACTTGATGAGCCTTTACAGGCTAGTAACGAGGTATGTTTTTTTGCTGTTGATCCGGATCAAAACGGCCTAAAAACATGATCCCGATCCCAAAACTCCGTACATTTTGAGCCCTGATCCCCTTACAGAAACGTTGAAAAAAATCATTGATCCCGATCCCAGTTGACAAACCTTTGATCCCAGGTTAAATCCATTTGATCCGGATCCTGGGCCTAAATGATCCCTGATCCCAAAATAGTCCAAAAAATGACGCTGATCCCTGATCCCAAGACCTCGTTACTAGCCTGCCTTTAATTAAGCAATTAAACGATAGCTTGAAGTGGTTTACTGGCGAAAAAAACCGCGGGGGATGGTTGGGAGAACACGAGAAAAGATCATTAAATCACGAACTATAAAACGGCGCGTGTGTCTCTTTCCTCTGATATAAACACGTTCGTCAGCCAATCAGAGCTCGCGTTATATATCAAAAATATTATAAATATATAATATATATAATATATAAATATATAAACTGCTCAAAAATTCTACATTTTTTAAAGGTATATGGCTATTTATCCACATTCGCAATCTATTAAACGGCCCTCTATTTAGCGGAACCCTCGAACTCAATGAACAGGTGAATCATGAATTCACAAAAAAAATGATGTATACACCTACTTGCGAAAACGTTGTCATAAAAAATAGGACATTTGTATTTAGTAAAAAGGAATAAATTAAAAAAGGCAAAAGAAGATCACTGAGGCTGAACGCTTTCTTTTGTTTTGTTTTAAATAATTCCTTTTTACTAAATTCAAACGTTCTATTTTCTATGACAACGTTTCTGCAAGTAGGTGTATATATATTCATTATAAATTATGACCTCTATTAAGTGGTCAGCCTCTCTTAGCCGGCCATCCGGTCTTTTTTACCTTTGTGCATCTCAGTTGCAGAAGGAGTAAACCAAGACTRAGCTCCCATAGCAATAGTTCCAGAGCTTTGTGGAGATTGGGTAGTGTGTTTTTGTACTATTTGACCGGAGCTCGTAGGAGCTACGGAATACTTTGCTGTTTTTATTGATGGAACTAAAATCAAACATTGTGGAGAGATTCAATAATGAATGTCGATGATGCCAATTAGTTTACAGAATATGTATCCACAATCATGGACAAAACACTTTGAAACACACTTTGAAATCATTATATAATTCATGAGCTATTAGTRCAATGAGCASCAAACTATTGGGTCACTTGATGGGCCTTTAATTAAGCAATTAAACGATAGCTTGAAGCGGTTTACTGGCGAAAAAACCGCGGGGGATGGTTGGGAGAACACGAGAAAAGATCATTAAATCACGAACTATAAAACGGGGCGTGTGTCTCTTTCCTCTGATATAAACACGTTCGTCAGAGAGCGCGTTATATATCAAAAATATTATAAATCCCAATAAACATGTCATCTCTCGTTCTAAAAACAACTCGTCAACTGCAAAGTTTTGACATTTTTACCAATAGAATATTTATGCGGGACTCCAATGAACTACTAACCCGTTATTGTTGATCCTGCTTGAGTAGAGCCATCTCTTACTTTATTTGTAGTATCAGATGTTGCACTTGGGGTTGTAAATGCTGACAGGTTTTCTTCAGGGTTTAATGGYGTACCTGAAGAAGATAGTTGCCCTTTCGACGCTGAATGTTTTGATGATGGCGAATCTTTTCGGCTTTCTGTTGGCRTGTGTTTCAAACCATGGGTGGTTTTAGAGTCGAAAGCCTTGAATTCAGCCTCCAAGTTGTCTAATTCTGTAGGCAAAAATATATTATAAAAGGGCTGTTGAAGATTCTTTTTTAACGTAAAGACAACTTTAAAAATATTAAAATTTGTGCTTTGTAACATGCACACTCTCAATTGCTTTGTATGTCCTTCCTAAGGATTACTTCTCATCATTGAATAACTTCTGAATCATATTTTAAACATTTTGCCGSGGAAGTCTTCATGCATAGAAACCTGCGTTTTTCGTTACCCGATATGAAAGGCTTCAGTTGTGTTGACATCGAGGGTCGTAGCTTTTCCTTSATTCGATTCAGAAATGAAGACATAGGTTCAGGCTTCTTCACTATGAGATGACGATTAAAGAATCCACTATCAGCCACATTGACGAATAAGTAGGTATAAATCGAAAAGCAATAGATTTTTAAAGGGACATGGTCCACCAGCATTCAATGCGGTCGTGTTTTAGATTTTTCATATAAATGGAAAATGAGGTAACTTCAAATATCCATTCGCAATCCGTTTCCTTCCAGCGGTTTTAAGATCGGAATAGCAGTATCTCCATATATTTTAAATAATAATAATAATATAATAATAATATGTGTTATTTATATAGCGCCGATATCCTCTGAGTTCAAAGGCGCTTCACATGTATAGATCATTTCACACGGACCGCTGTTTAAGGCGCAATTGGCAGCCACGCGGCTTACAATCATGAGGGTTAGTAATTAGTATGGGTTAGTAGTAAGGCCTAGCCACACACACCGGGAATCATTCCCTACTCTTATGCGAACAGTGGTGTGGGTTCTTTAACGTCCCTCTAATACCGGTTAGTGAGTGAAGTGTAGAGAGACGGGACCTCCGATTTTACGTCGTTATCCGAGAGGACGAGAAGATCTTACCATTTGCAGATGGAGAAAGACAAAGGCAGCAACTTCTCCTCAATTATTTTAAGACCCTGAGTGTTGGTCCGGCCGGGGTTTGAACCTGCGACCTCCCGCACTAAAGTCCGATGCTCTACCTACTGAGCTAACCGGTCGGCGGTTAAAGGGATAATAAAGCGTAAGTTCTTGCTTATATTACGATGTATTTTTATTTTCAAACATGAGCAAAAGCCTGGAAGGGATGCTGGTGGACTATGTCTCTTTAAATAATAAGTCTTTCATTTGTTCTTCTTRGTTTGGTCAGCATGCTGCAGCAAATGAAATCGGCKAGGGGACGGTGGTYTTGCATCAAAATGAAGTATAGGAATTACAGAGTGGAGATCAGTACCAGTAACTTTAGTTTTAGCTTCAGCAATTTGATTATGAACATTGAATAAAATGTAGGAAAAGCTCTTCGTATCATCATCCAAAAACAACAACAACAYCAACAACAACAYCAACAATAACAACAAACAACAAATTAAACAAATTAAACAACAATAACAACAAAGCAAAAATAGCAACAAAACAACAATAACAATAATAACAACAACTTTAATAGCAATAATAACAATAACGACAATAACAATAACAACAATTACGACAATGACGACAATAACAACAAAACAACAATAACAACAACATCAACAATAGCAATAATAACAACAGTAACAATAAAATAAAACCTACCCTTTCRACATGTAAAATCTCCACGGAAGTCGTCAAAATTCAAATGTCCCCATGGTCCTCTATAGTTATCAATAAGTCTTATTCGTCCCTTTCTTCCTATGTATTGTCCAACTGGCCAATGAACTCGCTCCATACTTTCGTGACACTTTCCTGTCGCGCTCTTGACACGTGATCCGTCAATCAAAAGTTCAACTCGAACTTTTGATTCATCGCATCCTCCTCCAATCAGGAAATTGATGTCAGAGCCATTAATCGTGAACTCCGGTGATGTCAGTGTGCCTGCAATTATAATAAATATTTGACTTGATTATGACAATTGACAAAACAATCTGAGAGAAAAGCCGTATTGACGAAAGTACAAACTGAGCAATGTTTTTGTTTCAAGTTTAGTGTTTCTTGTGTTTCAGCAACCTCGTTCCCAGGCCCTTASCCCTTCGCTTGGGATGACCCAAAGCGAAGAGATAAGGACCCGGGAACGAGGTTGGTGTTTCACGTATATTTTTAAAATAGCAAGAACTAGTTATTTTACATGCAGGTATTTTAACATACTCAGACGCCAATTCAAGACTTTCAAAAAAAGCGCGATATGTCACGGTCGCCGATCAGGGCACTGGGGACGATGTACTTAAATGATGTCTCAAAGGCCAGCCMTCATAAAGCTTACTTCGGTGATATCTTGCAAGTGTTTTGTTATAAATAACACACCAATACATCTTTTAAAGTTTTGGACACCACCTACATGCGATCTTCCTAGTGATTTTTAGATGGAAGGCCTTTGAGGTCTCGTTTCCARGATTTGTCACTAGTCCCCCGATTTGGCGGTCTTGAACTARAGCCATTTTTTGAAAGTCGTGTATTGCGTGTACTAAATAAACTTCAATCATCGTGCMCAACTTTTTTTTACGTCCGCCATCTTTGATACTTTTATCAATACCATGATGCACTTCGCGGAAGCACACATGAKGTCATTATGCTCGAGAACAATAGAGGTGAACTAAAAATTTCATGTACTTGACCTGTTGGTGTATCCCTTTGAACTCCCCCAGGGGGGTAGTCTGGATTAGGTCTATCTTCATAGGTTCCCAGCCAATAGTCGCCATTTTGATTGACCATTGTTTTTTTATTTCTTGCTAGTGGATTATCACCATAGGTTGGTTGGTTGTTAAAAGCATCTCCGGTCTTTATCCAGCCCTTTAGAGATTTCTTTCCCTCTTCAAAATCGTTATTACAATTGCCTAATAAAATATTATAAAATGACGATAATCACAAGGCGTTTACAAATGAACAATTTTCATACTACTGTCCGTGAACACCTGGAAAAACCTTGTAGAAACTTTTTTGTGTACAGTACGAGTACTTATTTCCATAGTATAGAAAACGTTTAATGTTGTTTTTCAAAATCTTGTAAAAACTGTGGAAAATTTCAAGAATATCCCAAGATATCAGGAGCCGACAACCAGTTGTGACTTACAGCTAGCTGGGACATAAGAACAGATATATTTCTCCCAGTAATCCATCGGTTACTCCTAATGTATTTRTATAAAGGCTTGCAATCGATGTAAATCGATCCAGCAATCTCCATAGTTTTTACAGGTTTTCATATCAAACAATTGCCTCAGAGAAAACTTCATTCGTTTGCCAAACTTTTGCTGACCATATATGGTAATCTTACCTTATAAGGAAGTACGTTAGAAAGTTTTTTTTATCATGTTTTTTCCACCTTTTAGTTCTTTAAAATGGCTAAAACTTACAGAATTTGCAGAGAAATCGCTTTGCAACATGTCGGCCATTATAATTTTGTCCTAGTCCCCTCCCATCCTTGAAAATAAGGAATCCCACAAAAGACACAGGTAGCCAGCGCGAATGTTAGGCAATTGTTTGATATGCAATAAAATT